TTGACGCGCATTGCTTGATGGTACTTCGACTTGTGTCTCGATTTTCGTTGAGGCAACCTTTTGCGGGATTTGTAAAATCATTCTTCATGGCCTCGATTGTTTGATCATGTTTCCACGTTGTCCATTTGGTCTTGAACTTTGTGTCATCGAATATACTTATGTGCAATAATCACTATGGATACTTAAATCAATTTGTTAGCAATAAACATAATTTGTTTGTGATAATCAAAACGAGAAGTCAACCATAAGTCAACGTTTTCTCCATCCAAATTCTTCTTCAAGTCCAATACCAGATTTTTCAACTCCTAATGGACTTCTAAAATAGAACTTCAACTTCACATAGGACTCCAATAACATTCCAAACTGAATTATCCTTGACGTGCACTTCAATTAGAATTCTTCAATACTTCAAATACTTCAACAAAGAATTCGAGTCACACCCAAATTCTAACAGAGATGCCAATCGATATAGTTTTAGATATATTGTGTTTTATAGGATCTGGTTTGATGTTATTATGTGCTTACAAAGGGTACAAATACAAAGATATCAATGAAAATGATATTCGTACACCATTTGTTGTTGCCGCCAGTTGCAGCAGTGGTCTATTTGCAAAAAACTGGCTTTTGGAGTAAAATTTCATTTTGGTGGTTGAATCCAATGATGGAAAAGGGAAGGGAAAAAACTCTTGATGATGAGGATTTACCGGAGTTGCACGAGGATGATAAAGCAGTCATGTTATATGCTATTTATGGAGAAATCTAACAAACGTAAGGAAATAAATCCTTCAGCCCAACCCTCAATCTTAAAAACTATTCTGTTATGCCACTGGAAAGATATATTTATTTTTGCACTACTGAAGACCACTGCTCTCTCTGCTGGTCCTCTGCTTCTAAATGCCTTCATAAAATTTGATGAAGGTAAATCGAGTTTTGAATATGACGGATATCTATTGGTTGTGTTACTTTTCTTTATGAAGATCATTGAATCATTATCTCAAAGGAAGTGGTACTTCAGGATGAGAATAGTTGGTCTAAAGGTGAGATCTTTACTCACAGTAGCCGTTTACAAGAAGCAACTGAGATTATCTAATGCTGCTAAGCTGATGCATTCAAATGGTGAGATAATGAACTATGTCACAGTTGATGCTTATCGGATTGGAGAGTTTGCTTATAGGTTCCATCAATCATGGACAACTATTCTCCAGTTTGGCTTTGCACTCATCATTCTATTCCGTGCTGTAGGGCTTGCTACGATTGCATCCCTCATAGTAATAATTCTCATTGTCATTTGTAATGCTCCCCTCGCAAAATTACAGCAGAAGTTTCAATCAAAGCTCATAGTTGCACAGGATAAAAGACTGAATGCTATTTCAGAAGTTATACACGTGGGAAACTAATTTCAAGCACGTCATAAAAAATTTGAGGCAAATTGAAGAAAAATTGTTATCATCTGTTCAGTTGTGCAATGCATGTAATATCTTCATTTTCTGGTCATTCCCAATGATAGTCTCTACAGCTACCTTTGGGGGCTGCTATTTTCTTGGCATCATGTTAACTGCTAGTAATGTTTTCATGTATGTGGCAACACTGCTTCTGGTTCAGGACCCTATTCGCATTATTCCTGATGTCATTGGAGTGGTTATTCAAGCTAAAATTTCATATTCCAGGTTTGAGATATTTCTTGAAGCACCTGAACTGGAAACTGCAAATTTCAGGGTGAAGTCCATTGTACATGATACAAATCATATTATTACTATTAAGTCGGCTGATTTGTCATGGAGTGAGAATCAATCGAAGGCAACACTTAGAAACATTAATTTGGAGGTTAAGCCAGGCGAGAAGATTGCCATCTGTGGAGAGGTGGGTTCTGGCAAATCCACACTCCTTGCAGAAATTCTTGGAGAGGTTCCAATTACCCAAGGAACTGTATGTTCTTATGCATGTTTGGTATAAAGTACTCCACACAATTGGACAGCATAATGAATAAATTTTTACATTTTAGTTTTTCGTTATATATTCCAGTGCAATCCAATCCTCCCTACTAACATGCCATTAGTTTTCAACTCATTTCAATTTGGTAATTGAAAAGCACAGCAATGTTCATTATCTTTCAATATCATGTATACAGTAAGGAGCCAAGTTCGTGACATCTGTCAATGATTTGGATTTCTTGTTTAGCTGGAAACCTACCCCGATAATCTTTGTTCCTATCATATTTATCAGGCCCAAGTGTACCAGAATATTGACCATGTCTCTCAATCAGCATGGATTCAGACAGGAAGTATTCGAGAAAACATTCTCTTCGTGGCGATCTTACTGAAATTGGAGAAAGAGGAGTCAATCTTAGTGGTGGTCAGAAACAGCGTGTTCAACTTGCCCGTGCACTGTATCAGAATGCTGATATTAATATATATCTTTTGGATGATCCTTTCAGCGCTGTTGATGCACACACTGCCACAAGTCTCTTTAATATAAGAACAGTAGTAAGATTTTTTATATTGCCTATCAAAAGGTAAGCTACAGGTGAATTCCGTGTCTTCACTGACGTGAATGGTGTTCTGGCTGCTCAGATCAGTGTTTGCTACCTGCAAAATAAGGTCAGGGCTTCCTTCCCCCATTGTTCATCCGGCGTGAGAATTAGTATACGGTTTAAGAGTGTAGGGAGTGAATATATTGGAATTCAAATAGTTTCTGGTTTCAAGAAGAACAAACCTTTTCTCACATCAGGTATTTATAGGCACCCGATGACACGTCTCCATTCTTTGACTAATTGTGCCACGTGTCCCATGTACACCTTCCCACTTCCCCACGTTCTAGAGTTGTGACCCCCACTCGCCAAGCAGTTTGTTGTCCATGTTTGTTGTTGGGTGATTTTCGTCTATCTCATGGCCATTTATTTTGCTAAGTATAGTGGGGGTCGATGTGGTGGATGACCTATGTGAATGTAGGGGGCCTCATGGAGGTCGACGTCCTCATAGTGGTAGACGGCCTATGTTGTGGTGCTCGACAGGGGGTGCATATTAAGTAGCCAGCCATCGTAAAGAAATGTTAACACCATCTTATATCACTAGCCCCTCTGCCTCTTGTCGATATTTATCGATGAGAGGTAGCCTTTTTTGACGTAGAACGGAAGTTCTAGGTTTACAGACGTAGCAAAAGACCAAAATAGACATCCATTAAGTCAAAGCAACTAAAAACGGAAAAACCAAAAATAACGCTAAAACTTCGACGGCTTGGTGTAGGAAGAGAATATATTGGAATTCAAATAGTTTCGGGTTTCAAAAAGAACAAACATTTTCTCACATCGGGGTATTTATAGGCACCTGATGACACGCTTCCATTCCATGACTAAGTGTGCCACTTGTCCCACGTACGCCTTCCCACTTCCCTACGTTCTAGAGTTGTGACCCCCACTCGTCGAGCGGTTGGTTGCCCATATTCGTTGTTGGGTGGTTTTCGTCTATCTCATGGTCATTTATTTGGCTAAGTATAATGGGGGTAAACGGCCTCATAGTGGTAGACGAGGGCCTCATGGGGGTCGACGAATGGTAGACGGCCCATGTGAACGTAGGGGGCCACATGGGGGTTGACGTCATCATAGTGGTAGACGGCCAATGTTGTGGTACTCGACAGGGGGTGCATATTAAGTAGACGGCCATTGTGGAGAAATATTAACACCATCTTATATCAAGCCCGATTTCAGGTCCTATTCCATGTTCTAATTTTGATTTTCAGCTTTGTTTCTTTCTAGTTGCTCTGAAAATATGATGATGAAAAGTTACTAGGATCCCGAATCCCCTTTAACCCTGAACATTATGAATTTAACAATCCGTTCAATTATGAAAGTCAATATTTCTAATTTGTTTAAAAATCTCTCTCGAGTAGAATTAAACTTATCATTCCATGTGACCCGACTATATTTATATGACGGATGCAAACATATAAAAATACATTAAGGATTTATAAATATTTAAAGATCCTGTAGAGCATAGAGATATACTTCTATCCTCTACCGGACTCTACAATAATTGACACTATATCTAACTTATTTTCAATCTTTCGAAGGTAAAGTAAACTACAATACTTATACAATTATTGCACATATAATTATAGTAAATAATAAATTCATGTCAATCATTAAAAATACGTACATTAATATCAAAAACAAGATTCAAAAGTTAAAGTTTCATAATACAAGGTACATAAAAAACGTAGCACTAAAATACTTAGCCTAACATGTAAGAATTAAACAAATAAAAATGGAATGACATCATTGATAAATTGACGGGACGTGTTAAATTTGCAAATTCCTTGCACAATTATCGATGAATTTTTGCACAAAATTATAGAATTATTTTTTAATTGTACTGCCGTCTCTTCGCTGTCATTTTTTTTTTTTCCAAAATTCAGCCTACATCTCTTCTAAATTCTGGCCGCGTCTCCTTTGTTTCTGTGCGTAAATCCTCGTATTTACTTCCAATTTCATCGCTAACAGTTGCAGTCCGAAAAGGAGTCTAAATCTTCCAAATATAAAGAAGTCCAAACCCAATTAAATTAATTTGAGTCCCAATCAAAGTCGAGTAAATTAGGCCCAATACACTGAAAAATTAATTAATTTGATTAATACCCTATTAACTAATTAAACCATTTAAAAACATAATTAATACGTTATAAAAAACCCCAAATTTCAAACCCCTGAACACGCACACACAAAGGAATATAGTCATTTCGGATGTGGGAAGGCTTCGTCGGCGAGAGAATCAAGGGTAAGAAACCGTTATTGAGTTATTCAACATGCATAAACTATCAATAATCGGACGGTCGAGCGTGATGGTAGAGATGTACAACACTCCCTGCGAAGAGTACAAATAGAAAGATCCTTTGTGAACCGGAGCTACATCATTTTCAATGCCAAAAAAGAGGCCGCGGCGGAGATCCGAAGCAAAGTGGATTCTCCATTCAATGTCATAGTTGGGAAAGACTTTTTTTCCCAATCAAGTTTGGATTCGATGGCATGTTGGTGTTGGTGTTGGTGTTGGTGTTGGTATTGGTGTTGGTGCTTGATCGTATTCATAGAGATGATTGCAGATGATAATGGAAGTGGTGTTGACGTGGACCTCACCAAACCAAGATTCAATTTTCCTTCTAAAATTCGTATATATTTCTTAATCTCTTATTTTCACTTTTCAATTTTGTGCAAATATTGTTGATGCGGACTGATATATTATTACACATATTATACATAATATGCTTCAGAATTGAGTCAAAGAGAGAAGACGAGAAGTTTCGCTATAACTGTTGATACAATGATTTCATGGCAACAAAGTAGGTTCTTCATACGCAGTGACCAATTCAACCTCTAATGAGTTACAAAATATAATAGGTGTAATGTTAAAGAGTTAAATGTAAATACTTATTGCTCGCAAGTGATTTTCAGGGCCTGAGGTGAACCTTATAAATTAGGCCCCCGAATTTTTTTCTCTTTGATCCCTATGTAGTCACGCCCATGGCCAATGCGAACTGCCTCCTTGTACCTCAACAACCAGGTGAGAAAGAGTAG